CTAAGACGTGATCGCCTAAATTACCATAAAGCTGAAAGTATATCCCTGACCATTTTCCCCTATCGTCATTCTTAATCAGCAAACTCGAGATACCCTTTTATGCATTCCCGTCACTATGTGTATTTCACTTCAATTCAATTATGTTCAACAGAAACTATTCGGCAATTTGGAATAAAAGATTTATTTCGCTGTAAATCTACATTGCACAGCATCGCTATCTGCGAGTCATTATATGCAATGCCCATGAAAGTGAATTTGTAATTTTATGAGTGCTTAAAAGTAAAAGAAACTTACAAAACAACTGAATGATAATGATGAATACCTTTACAAATATATCAGATTAAATAACAATTGATACTATGGTTTAAAAAAAACAAACACAAGTAGAAGCATTGCCTGATAAAACGGTATTTTGAATAACATTTAACGAAAATGCATCGCATAGAAAATATTTTTATAGGAAAACGTATTACATAAATACTGCATATTATACATATACTTGCAATGATATGCAATCCAAATGCAACAGTTTCATTTGATTTCAGTCATGAGCTCACGAGGAGGTCCATAATCGAGTGGCCGCATATCATATTTTCATGGAAAGGTATTGTGTCACGAAACGGTTTGTGTCATCTCACCGGAGAAGTACACTGCACGATGAGCAGAAGTTTCCGCACAAAGGAAACCAGTGTCATTGTGAGAATACCCTTCTCGCGTAAATTAAAAATCCTTCGGTTTGAGACATTCGTTAACGGCATTCATCAGTCCAATATTCTCCATCGCTGCAGCAACTCGTTCCTTATCAGCTAACTGTTTATTGATCGCATCTTCAGTATTATGTGAGCCTGGTGTTATACGAACAATTACCTAAATTCATGAATATTCAACATCAGCATCCATACTTTATTAATGCTAAGAACTATCGCATAAACAATTTTATAAAATATGAATTAACAATCCAAATTCACATAAAAGTTAATTGTAATAAGCGACCTTAACTGAAGGATGTACTGATCGCGACAATTTAATGCGAATCGCTAAACCAATCAATGTGGCCATTGAACAATGTGGAATTGTCGGTGTAAATCTCACCTGATATGAAGATGATTATCATCCGAAATGAATCAAAACAATCAAAAATAATTACTAAATTACTAAAAGGAAACAAATTGAAGTATATAAGAAGCATTAAGATATAAGAATAAGAGCATGAAACAATGCAAATTAAACACATACGTCAACGACTTTATCGCCATCCTCCTCAGTGACTTCAATCAATTCTTCTTGAACCACATTCAACTGCTCCAATGATAACGGATGTTCTGGATCGTTTATATCACTTAAAATTTGCATTTTCAGAGCAGTGTTTGGTAATAAGTGAGATGATGCCATCTCCGAAGGCATACACTTGTATTGTTATTCTCAACAGTGCTTCAACGAGAGCATAAATTATTCGAAGACTTCATCAAAAAATGCACACAAAGCAATACCGTATCAAATCGAATATCTCCTTGGCGTCGATTGGATCTTCAATATCTGCATCGTAATCAGTTTCAGCAGATCGTTCAATTCGTGGCGCTGTACTGTAGATAATCGGTGCTTCATTATCAAGTTTATTTTCAACCATAGCGATATCACCCCCTCAAAAGTTTAATATTTGAGTACATTTGGTAGGAGGTTGATTCAACCACTCATTTGCAGCAGGCGGAATACTGTCACGAAGTAATCGAAATGCGAAGAATGGGTAACAACGAGGTGAAACATTAATTTAACAAACTCTGCAAATTGATGTGA